GAATTCCTGAAAGTGACATTTGGGAAAACAATAAGAGAAACAGATGTATGGAAACTACGATATCATACTATACAAAAAAATTTGAAATTGCAAATCATATATTATTAAGTTTGAACTAGTCATGTTCGTTCTTCGACGCATAACCAGGTTATTGGATAATAACCTGAATGTTAAGAGAAGATATCTACATAACAGCAACCTTCTGAAGCTTATGACGAATGAAGTATCCACCGAATATGTACAATCAAAACCAAATGAGAATGATGAGATTATAGTCGCTATGAGTTCGGGAGTAGATTCATCAGTATGTGCAGCTCTATACGCTCAGAAATATAAGAACGTAAGAGGTATATATATGGCAAATTGGTCCCAAACAGCTAAATGTACAGAATCGGATTGGAATGATGTGAAAAAAATTTGTAATGATTTGAAAATTCCTTGTGAAAGGGTTAACTTTGAAAAAGAATACTGGAATGAAGTTTTTCAACCGATGGTTCAAATGTATGAAAAGGGTCTCACTCCAAATCCAGACGTTGGGTGCAATAAATACGTAAAATTTGGGAAAATGATTGAACATCTTACCAAGAAATTTCTGAATAATCAAAAATGGTGGTTAGTGACGGGTCATTATGCTAGGATAATGAAGTGCCAAGCGGATGGTGAAAATCATTTATTGAGAGGATATTACAAGTCGAAAGATCAATCTTATTATTTAGCTAATATTCCAAAGACCGTTTTACTGAGAGTGTTGATGCCCATTGGTCATTTAACTAAACCTAATGTCAGAGAATTAGCTAAATCATACAACCTTCATACTGCCAAAAAACCGGATTCTCAAGGTCTTTGCTTTGTATCTCAAGATGAGAACAATTTTAGGGATTTTCTAAATGAATATATCGCACCAAACCCTGGTAATATTATAACAGAAGATGGAAAAATTTGGGGCCGGCATCAGGGTTTATGGCATGCGACTATAGGCCAGAAACTGGGTATATCAATGCCCCAAGGTGATCCAAGATATAAAGGAGTTTGGTTCGTTAGCGAGAAACGGTATGATACGAATGATTTGGTTATTGTAAAAGGAAACAACAATGAACGTTTATTCAAGAAGGGCCTCAAAGTAAAAGAATGGAGTTGGCTTATAGATGACATTTCTACAATTCCAGAAAAGTGTCAAAATGGCAGATTAAGTATACAGTATAGGTCGTTACAAGAGCCTGAAATAGTTAATTCAATCAAAATTGTGGAGAGTGAGGTAGAAATAGAATTGGTTAAAAAAGCGAGAGCCATGGCACCTGGACAGAATATTGTATTGTACGAGGGAAATAGAGTTTTAGGATCTGGAATTTTAGCACAAACATACTTGTAGATAACAAGAGTGAACATCCATAACTAAAAGGAGTGATATGTTGATCTACAAATTGAATCCAATTCCGAAATGTATTATATATTGTAAATAATCTAATCAGTAGAATGTAAATAGCAAGGTTGAATCAAAAATTTCAATTATAGAATAAGTTTACATCAGAAATATTATATGTATACCCTTTAATTGAAAACCTATAAATAAAATACTAAATATTCGTAAAAAACCCAAAACACAACCAAAGAACGCATAATAATAAAAGGGACAGAAAAAGAATTGAAACAAAATGTAACGGAATAATGATATATAAACTTAAAAATTGTAATTAAAATGAAGCAATCTTTGGGTATAAACTCCTCAGCAAATTTTCTTTGTCAGATAACTGGGAGGACAGACAAGAGTCCTTAGGAGACAATTTCTTTTCAATCTCTTTATTTGCTTCTAATGTCATCTTCAAGTTGTCTAAGTAAGCTATAACCGAATCAACCATTTGTTTATGTTTTGCAACATCGTCCAATTTAAATTCATTAATTGATAATTTACTAAGTGATTCGATGGCGTCATCTGTTTCTTTATCTTCAGAAGAAGCTTCATTGAGTGGTTTGGCCGACTTTTGAAAATTGCTGACACCACCGAATTCCATGGATACTGGATGATTAGCTTGGTAGTTGAATGATCTATTGACTTGTGGGAAATTAGGTGGCACTCCTACATTATGGCCACTCATGATATTATCATTTGTCTTAGAAATCTGTGGAACAGAAGGATATAATTGTTGTGGTTGTGGTTTGTATTGATAATTTGTTGATAATTTTTGATATTGTAAATCGATCGAGGAAGATAATGAATTGAAAAACTTTTCTGCTTCAAGTAAGTTTTGTGAGTTAATGTTGCTGGGGTATTGTTGATGTTGTGTATGTGTATTATGTTGATGTTGTGGTTGCTGTTGATGTTGTGGTTGTTGTTGCTGTTGATGTGGTTGTTGTTGCTGTTGATGTGGTTGTTGTTGCTGTTGATGTGGTTGTTGTTGCTGGTGATGTGGTTGTGGTTGTGATTGTACTTGTTGTTGATATGGATTTGATTGCATATAACGATCGTCAAAGCTGTTCAATTTATTAAACATATCCAAATTGTAGTTTGGCTCAACCTTCACCTTCTTGTTACTGTAATCCGGAGCCATAGTTGAGATATTATGGAAATTAAAGTCATTCAAAATATTATTGACCATGTTACTGTTCCCACTTTCAAATCTTCTCTTACGCTCAGCACCATCGTTCACCATTGACAAGTCTGGTTGCATTGAAGGATACATCTGGTAATTTATGTCGTAATTCAACATGTTGTCAAAAGGATAAGGTTGCATGTTTTGATATTGGTGTGATTGCAGTTGTGGCTGTGAGTGAGTAGGATTGTGAAAGTTTGGTTGGCGGGTTTCCTGTTCTTGTTCATCTTGCTGTCTACGGTGTGCCTTTTTTAACTTTTTTGGATGGTCATCGGCATGTATTTTTGAGTGTTTCTTCAAATCCTGAGGTCTCTTGAAAGACTTAGGACACACATTGCAATGGAATGGCTTGAGTGGAACATGCACCCTCAAATGCGACGTGATATGGTCCCTCTTCACCGTCGTAACCAAACAATTGTCCCAATAGCATGTCAATGACAAGTTATTGGACGATTTTCTCCCTACATGATCATCACACAAGTGGTCGTATAACAACTCGGGCGTATCGAAAATAATAGCACAGTCGTTCCAATGACATCTAAACGGGCCCTTCATATCCTCATCCTTCACCTTGCGGTAGATCTTCTTTGGTTTGACACTTCCATCGTCTCTGTCAGCCCCACTTCTTTCATATTCGCCCGTTATTTTGGACTCTACTCCCCCATCATCTTCAATTCTCATCGTGGGAACATCATAGCTGTCCTGGTCAAACCCCAACCCACGTCCATCCTTAACTCCTTCCCCAAAAAACTTCAAGTAATCACCCTTCTGGTGCGGCGAGTTTTCGCACGATTGTGACGTAAATGACGACTGGGGTGAGTCGTTTGTGCTCTGCGAGCTCGTAAGTGGTGATCCCGTCGAAATACCATCTATATCTAAATTGAGGTCAGAATCAAACATTCTGTACCCATTTCCATGTTCATGCCCGGCGTCATGTAAATGTACATGTCCATTACCAGCTGCCTGATTATTTCTAGCTCCTCCTCCATTCGTATCGGCATCTAAATATGATATTGGATGTAAATTATAAGTCATTTTACACTTTTCTTCTACAAAGGACTTAAACTGTCATAACTTATGCTAATAGTGTACTTTTAATCCGCTTAAATAGAAGTCATAGCGCCAAGAAACTAAAAAAATGCTAACAAAAGGGTCATTTACAGGTTAAGCAAAACATGTCAGTTTCTTACGTCAGTTTGCAAGTTGGACTTATTTTATGTCAATTCCGCCACTATTTGAGACAAAGGCGCAATTAGGCGCAATTTTGGGCCATCAATCGTAAATGTCAATTTATCCGAGGGGGTTATGACAAGAAAAAAGAATAAGAAAAAAAACGTGCGCTTCCAAAAAGGGTAAAAAAAAATGGTGCCTTCAGCCAGATTCGAACTGACGATCTCCTCATTACTAGTGAGGTGCCTTACCAACTTGGCCATAAAGGCTATGAATTTTATAGGAAATCTCCCGGGGGTGAGTCGAACACCCGATCTCAAGATTACTTTGAGGTACTCATTACAGTCTCGCGCCTTAGCCAGCTTGGCCACCGAGAGGA